TTTATCGAGTATTGTTCATTTCAAATCGTTAATCCTTGTTGGCTACATTCTCAGTTCCTCATAGGTCTCATGTCTTCCTCTGTTTCCACAGGGACTGGACTAGATCCCAGCATCACTTGAATGAAATCACTAGAACCTACACTTTGCGGATAATTGAGAATATGGCTAACACATCTAATAAAGATCGGAACAACCTTCTTCACGAAATCTATTAATCAGTTGAAAGCTGGCGCCATATAACTGCCAATATCCTAATGGTGACATAACATCAACCAGTAGTTGTGAATTCATCACAATTTGCAAACATGGGATCCAGGACTTCAGTCTTTGACCTGTACTTTATACCTTACAAACCACTAATACTTGTAAGTTTTGGAGGCTTTATGTTTCGATTTAGCACCGGTCACCTCAGACCGCCTCTTACCTTTCGATAACGAAAAATTCTGAAACTCCCTGGATAAACTGCTGTTCAATAGGTATACCGTAGCTTAAAACTGTGATAGAACTCACTATCTAACTTATATATGTCCAAACTAAGTTCACTTTTAACAGTCTGAAAAAATTTGGGTATTGGGTATGTGATATTCATTATGTTTCCACTCTACATGGAATGAGAACAGTTGATGCCCATGTCTTTGGAATACATTTTCTGCCACATTTAATGTCAGCGTTGATTTTGTTGAAGTTCTTTGGGTTTGTTTGATATTTCTTCTTCTCATCCGTTATCAGAGATTGTGCTCGTCTGAGAAGACTTGAAACAACTGATACCTTTGCGATGATCGGGTGTGATGATCCGAAGTCTAAATATTTATTGGAGTGGGTTTTCTTCCTGAATGTAGATATACTAAAATTTCCGTTTTCCCTCGTCTTAACTAGGCAGTCTAGAAATGGTAGTTCACCGACGTCTGATTCTGCTTCCGAAGTAAACTGGATTCTGGGAGATACACAGTTTATTTTCTCCAGGAATGAATTGTGTAGATCTCATTTTAGTACTACAAAAGTATCATCCACATATCTTAGCCATATTTAGGAGTGAGTATGCTTGAAAAGATTTTATCTTCGAATCTATTCATGAAAAGGTCAACAACTATTGGGGAGACTGGTGAACCCATTGCAACACCATTTGTCTGTCTATATAAATTCCCTTTAAATGTAAAATAATTACTTTCTAGACAGAATTTTAAGCTAATTATTTCACTGGTGTCCAGTGGACATCTTTGTGACAGTGTTGTATCTCATTCTAGTAGACTGGAAATGATATCAAGACTTTCAATAATAGGGATACTAGTATATAATGAGTTAATATCATAGCTTATCATAATGTCTTCTTTATCAATTTCCCGGTGTTCTATTCGGGATTTGAAATCATATGAATTTCTTACAATATTTTGAGTGTCCTTTTGTAGTGGTTGTATTACCGAGAGTAAGTATTCAGAGAGGCTGTATGTCAGTGAGTATATAAAATAAAATGCTTGGAATGTGATGCGATCTACATCGGACAAACATCTCGAGAAATCAAAATCAGAAGAAATGAACACAGTAGAGCATCTCTTCGACCACCGAGAAATCCGGTTGAACTAGAAAAACTTGAAAAAACATCAGCCATAGGTCTACACGCTATAGAATCAAGCCACAAAATCGATTTTGACAATATTGAAATAATCCAGAAAAGCATTTCAGAAATCACAAAGAATGTCTCACATCATCACCAGAACTTCATATCAAGTGGAATCCAAATTGTCTAAACGGGAATGATGGACTAAAACAGAATCTGACCTGGTTACAACACCTCCCTTCCATCCCCCCGAAAAGTGACAAAATCAACACGAATGTCATAAGAAAGTTCACTGTGTAAACACACACTGCTTTTATAATTTTACACGCTGATCAAATCCAACAATCTACACTTGGTTTTGTGGTTAGGTTTCTCGCCTACCATGCACATGGTCCGGGGTTCGATCCCCTGCTAACGCACACCGGATATCTATGGTCGGCCTTCAAAATTTGGGCTACCGATATCACATGCTGAAAATTCCATACCTGCACCAAAAAATAATACGGTATGGAATCAAGCTGTAATCAAAAATAAAAAAATAAAGATGTCTTTACCAATTGGCCAGTTTCACAATGACAAATGACCTCAGACTGACGAACGATTATCAAGTTAGTAAACTTTGTTTTGATATCATAACAGATGTACTATTACCTTTGTTATTTGGTTTAGTAATCTTCATTGTTATTTTGACGTTCACAATATGTCCCTTTAACTTGACCTAAGTCTATTTTCTGACCTCTTAACTCTCTGTTATATATATGCTGAGATTTTGTAAATTCCGGTTTAATAATGCTGCTTTCATAAAGCTATTAACAGCAGCATTAAATAGCGAAATGTCAGTAAAAGTGACAATATCATTTTGTTTTTCATTCATTCATTGGGAAATACAAAAACCTTTGTTTATAATCATTATCTAACTTATTCCATCGAAAGCACGTTTCTTTAGGAATTTTTGTCTAGCTATTTCCTGTAAATATGCCTGCAGCAATTGGAGACACTGGTAGTAATTTTATTTCATCTGCTTCAGTTGTTTTGTATAGTTTCCATTGAAACTTAATTCCTGTAGATGTCATATATAGGTGTGATCATGAAATAATTTCTCCTACTGCTGTTTCATTTCTGATTATACAAGTTCTTGAGTTAGCTTCTAATCGATACAAAGACCTAGTTTTTTACATGTACTTTCACATGTTTGGTTTAACTGCTCTTATCCAACTTATCACCTTTGAACTCCTATTGGTCGTTGACTGTCTTAATTTATCAATGTAATTGGCGTCTCTCTAGATCATTTAAAGCAATATATATATATATATATATATATATATATATATATATATATATATATATATATATATATATATATATATATATATATATATAATACTGTGGTGGTGTGATGTAGACAATGGGTTCCAATTATTATTGTATATGTCGGAGTTAACGTCTGAATACTATTCCCACAGTTCAATACTGCATTAGCATCGAATCAACAATATCAAAAGATAACAGTTCAATAGCATCAACGTAACAATAAACTGAATGTCAGAAAAATTAGGAAAGATAATATTAATAATTAGTGCGCTACAATTGCTTAGTTACATAAAACTCTCATTTCTCTGGTGTTTCTGACCACGAAGTTTTGGAAATTATTGCAATCCATTTATACTTTCGAACACTAAACCTGTGGATATAATCTTGTTGACTAGTAATACCTATAACTAAGTGTTTGACATTTTAACACTAACTCATATCTGTAACTGTATATATTGCTGGATTTATATGTTCAAGTTGGCCCAAGTCAGTGAGTCTATGGTTTTGGCATCATTTTAGTTAACTGTGCTTAACTGTATTGTATATTCTTTTATTGTTGTTGTCGCCTGTTGCCCTTCCTGTTATGAACTATTTTGCTTTTGCTGGTGTTGTTCTGATTGTTTTATTCCTTGGTCGCTTCTCTCTAAGTTTTATCTTAATGTAACAATTCCTTTCTCAGGCGTGAGGCCAGCAACCACACCCTGCAAACAAAGTTGCTAAAGAAACTTCAGCACGATGAGTCTCTTTGCGCCAAAAGAAAAAGTCTGTGTGGGGACATGGAACGTCAGCACCATGTACGAGACTGGTAAAGCTGCCCAGATAGCAAACGAGATGAAAAGATTAACGAGGGAACACTATGTATATATTTGAATATTCTATTGCATTTCGTTTAATGTAAACCAAAACCATACGCTGAGTAATTGGTTGACGAATATATAAGCTGCACCCTACTGGTGCAGCAGATCGCGTGTGAGGACAAATACTCGCCGTAGACATTGGCTAGGGGGTAGCGCTATGTTGTGAATTGACAGAAGTTAGAATTCACGGGCTGGCCATTAGATCGGTTCCCAGTGACTTATTCGTCTACGAGCTAGCTTGCCTTGTAACCAGAAGGTCCTGGGTTCGAATCCTGGTGGGTGCGTACTGCCGAAGAGCCCCAAACTAGGACGAAACAGCTCTCTGGCAGTACTCTCAGGTTTTCCAATGGTCCTCTAACCACTGTCAACTCATGATGAAATCCTGTAATCAATTAACCAAATCCCTACAAACCAACACTTGAATATCATATTTTAGGTGTCTGAAAGGTGTCAAAATCCCCTTGAGGAGGAAGTACGCAACATAAACAGCATCGCCTAATCAATGTTGTTGTTGTTGTCATCGTTATGTGATGAATGAATACTGATCAAATAAATAAACGACTTTGTCTAAATTGTCTAGCTATAAAGCAAGTTAAAACAAAATTAGCAAAAATGATTTATGCGTAAAAATTGATTGTTTTCAGTACACACACACACACACACACATACACACACTCAAGCAATCATAGAAACATAAATAAATAATAAGAGGATAAAGTGTGTGTGATTAGGCCTGGAAAAGGATACAGGAATCACAGAGATACATAAGCGTATGATGTATATATATATATATATATATATATATATATGTAATATTTTGTATTTACACTGTTGCATAATCAGTTTTCTTTAAAAAAAGTGTCAGTGAAACATTTCTTTTATACAAAAAATAAATAAATAAAGCAAGCAATTAGCAAAAACAGCGACAGATAAACAGTAAACAAGACACCAGTAGCAAAAAAACAAAACAGAATCAGAATTATGAAAGGCGTGAAATTTGATTACACAAGTAGTTAAAAAAGCCGACAAACTCGTTTATGTTTTTTTTTAATTTTTTAGAAAATACCACATTCTTTCGCCTATCTTTTGTTATAGTTATTGAAATCTGTGAAAATAAATATAATAATTAATAATAATAATAATAATAATAAAACGCCAACTCCGTCAGACGAATCTCCGGGTAAAAACTTCAAGAAACAATCTAGTAGTAGTGTTATCATAATTTTTGTATACAGAGATATCACTTTGGCTATGATTACTATCATTATTCTTAATTCTTATAACAAAGAGGCTAAGAGCTCAATTCTATCACGAACTCGATGCAAGTAGGCCTGAGTTTCAACAACCATTTGTAAAAGTTGTTTAACATCAGTGGAATCAAGACACACGTCAGCTGATAATGGAGGACTGAGACGAAAGAATGGTACACCGAGTGAACCACACCATGCACTTGCACGATCCACAACTCGACCTAAGAAATGAAAAAAAAAAGAAAATGAATAAGGGGAATGCATATTGTTAGCGAATATTTTTATTTTGCATTTATGTGCATTAATTATTTCATTTCATTCATAGGAATTATTGAGAAGACAGTTGCAGCGAAGAAAATTTTCTTTTCGGTGAAGTCATCAACTAGGAGGCTGTACATTCGTGTAATTTATAACAAATGGATGGGAAAGTTCCAGAATCATTTCCGGTCAAGGGTCAGATTAATAAAATTACTATTAAGAATTAAAATGCCGTAAGAAACAGGGGGACGGATGAAACTCAAACAAAGTAGCATCATAATTACTGAGAAGATTGACATATTGTGCAATTGGGGGGTTAGAAGTGTAGAAATAACAAAATAGAGAAGATGGTTGGATAAAAAATCTAGTGGGATCATAACTAATGTGACGAATAATTGTTTATGCAATCAGGGATTAAATATGTAGAAATAATAAAATGACAAAATAGACAAGAAGTTCGGATATGAAAATATGGTAGTATAAATAGGGATTAAGAAAAACTTAGAAATATCATGAATAAACAGGAAGTTTGGATAAGAAAGCCAATGGGATAGTCACTATTAGAAGAATTACCTGTTTATGATAGCCATGGCAGGGACAAAGGTTGGACATTATTTCTTTCGGATACATAGTGTGGGTTTGAGCTTATAGATGGTTAGTGCCTCGGCTATGCCCAGATGTCTTAATTTCACTCCCTTTGATAGATTTGATCGAATCTAGTCATTTCATTTAAACAATTATATTCTACTAACGATGTAAGTGGCTCCAGCTCAATCAAAAGGCCACAGTAAGTAAGCAAGTGAGCAATTGAGTGTCGTCAGTAATAGCTACCCGTTGGTTCCTAAAATACCAAAAACCCCCTAAGTGCCTGGTTCAAAGGTGCAGCTCTCAAAGATTATATCGACTGATGACAGGCTTCGATTTGAATATTCCTTAACTCATTACAAACCTAATCAATCGTATGTCACTTACTCATTACTCAGTCAGCAAGACGCGGCTGCTGGCAAGGGCAATACGAGTTATAGTCATCTCAATCAATATAACTTGATAATCTCATCGATTGATTGACTTGCCTACTTCCCATCTTACCTAACACTCTATGCCTACCTCGAATATTACCACTGACCATATTCTACCACTTAACAAGGGAGATTGACCTCAGGTGTTTGTGTTCTACGACAGCTAGCCCTTTCATAGCTTCCACATTTGATGACCATATTCCACACAACCATAAGGAAGGATAGAGTAAACTGCTGTTCAGTAGACACATCTACTGATCGATAAACGGATATCATGTTTATACGCCAGTGATGACGTAATTTGGTAGGTAAGTGGTTAATGAGAGTAAATAGTTGTCTGTTGTTACCTATCGCCGATGCCTTTCCTCCATAGCTTTTGCTTGAATCTCCCCCCCCCGCCATCACTGTTCCAGGTCGCTGGTCAGCTTGCATTTGAGCAGCCTTCACTCCTCGTCATATTTGGGGCCCACCGGGTCCACTACTCCAAAAATACCACCACCAAGAAGACTACAACCAATTTGTCAGCCAAGCTTGTTTACACTTACTTTCCAAACTTGATAACTTGATCTTTATCGAAGTCTACTGCAAGACGATACTAATGCTGCTTTTGATAATATGTGTCACGATTGTGTGTGAAACCTGGTGATATTACCCAGTTGCCCACACTGAAGTAGGAGTGAAGTGGAAGTCGTGACCAAGTAAGCCTCGTTGATAATGCCCCAGAGGTTTGAAGTGATAGACATACTGGGAAAACTACCGTTCACCGAAGATGCAAGTATATCCAGCTGACCAGTTTCAGATAGGACACAAGCCTTACAGCTAATGCGTCCTGGGCTCGAGTTCATCAAATTGGATATTACAAATACCAGTTGTCATAAATAAATATGACTTAGCCTGATAGACGGAACATGTATTCCAGGTAAATCAATTCAAAGGTTAGTATCTACTTTCTTGCAAAATATAAATATTTAATTTGTGGATGGTGACTAGCAGTAGTGGAATCCAGGATAACACGCATTTCGTCCTGTCTTGGACTCGTCAACTAGATGTACCTGTATTTTTAGTTAAATGCCCAGACACCGTCGAAGCATTTGTACAAGAAGCCGACATGTCAACCTGAGACCGAGGAGCACTTCAGTGCAATAAATCAAGGGGAAAATCTAAAATTCAGTTTAAATATATAAATATATTCTTGAAAACTAACTCACCTTCTGACATGGTTGCAACTTCAACAAGTATACGACCAAGAAAACTGAAACCAAGAACAGATCGATAGGTTTCCATAATATTCTGTGGACGAAACACATCCACTGTTTCTACAGGTATAACAGGCATTCGACCAGTTCCCAGGGAAACAACTACAGCTATTGGAGTTATAGGTTTATTCTGTTGAAGGGAAGAAGACAACTTTTTTTTCAGAACAGTAAAAAGAACAGATTAAAAATCTTCAAACGAATGGATACTGAAGAAAGAGTACTCTTTTCGATAAATTCATCATCAGGCTCTACATTTATACATACATTATAGTGAATGAATGAGTTAGTGTTATGAACGACATTAATGTTTAAATAACATCGAATCAATAATATTGATAGACTACAGCTGAAACGCATCAACATAGAATGAGCTGAATGTCAGAAGAATTAGGAAGGATAATGGTACAAATTCATGAGTTTATAGCTTCTACTGAAAGCCAGGGCAGTAGTAGTGGCTGGACTTGCTTGTGGTTGTTTCAGGCGAATCGCAATACAATAGATTAAAAATCACTGCGTACAAAGGATCAGCCGCAAATTCAAACTAAGTAATTTTATGAGCCAATTCAAATGAACTGTCGTTAAGATTTGACAGAATAGTTCTAAAATATTTGGGAACCAAGTGAGAAGTAGACATTTGTAATAAATTATATTTGTGAAATCTCAGTGAGATTGAAATGAGTAATTCCAACGTTTCTTTCGGCAATCTGGTCCGAACTTCTTCAGGGAAATTAATCGAAATTAACATAACAGAGGTTTACATATAAAAGGAACATCTATTTTTAAAAACTTTGTCCAATCATGAGTCATAAAACAAGTATTAACAAGTATAATAAACAAAATTGTATGAGCTGTGATCTAAATTTGACCTCAGACTTACAAATATTGATCTACCTTTGTTAAACACTTTAAACACAGTGTGTTTGTAAGTGTGGGTAAACTTTCTGTCAACATGTAAAATTTGCAAGTACGTTAAAACGTTTCTGTACTTAAACCTGAAAATTTATTTAGGCTGTAAGCAGCTGACGAGAAGCCAACGAAATAAATGATGGTACCATGTTATTCTGCACAAATCAATGTTGTTCTCGCTTTATTCAAATGTGGGTAAACAGTTGTAAAATATTTGTTAACGTCTCCATAAGAAGATATAGACAATCGGGAAACTTTGACCAAGTATTATTAATTAATTAGTGATACATATCAATTCATATTTATTTATTAATCAGGATTTCCTATGCATCAGCTAACAAGATCACCCCTTTATCTCTGTTCACACTGTTAATATCTGGAATTTTATGATTAGACGTATTTTCAAAATTATGGTGTTTAGGATTAGAGCTTAGTTGAAGCACCCTATCGAACTTATTGCTTTGTCTTCTTTTTGAACATTGAGCTGCTTTATTCGACCTACTGGAGTTGTCAGGTGACTCGACAGCTATGGACTTAGGATATGCATTCTGTTGCAGACGACAGAGAGTGAAAACACGATGATTGTGCCAATTACATAATTTGTTTATTAGTTGAATTCGTTTGGTGAGGTTTTATAAATATAATTTTCTACAAAGGTTTACACTTCTCACTCGTCGCTCAAATATTTTAGAACTATTCTGTCAAATCTTGACGACAGTACATTTGAAAAATACACTCTGTTCAACGTGTTTATCAAAAGTAGACTAATTTTTCAGTCTCAGGTCAAATTGTGATCACAGCTCATACAATTTTGTTTATTATACTTGTTAATACCTGTTTTATGACTCATGATTGGACAAAGGTTTTAAAAATAAGAGATGTTCCTTTTATATATAAACCTCTGTTATGTTAATTTCGATTAATTTCCCTGAGGAAGTTCGGACCAGATTGCTGAAAGAAACGTTGGAATTACTCATTCCAATCTCGCTGAGATTTTACAAATATAATTTTTACAATTTTATGAGCTCTAGGATGATGATTGAAGTTGGAAAGAGAGGGACTTAAACTGCATTAGAGGTGAACTATAATCCTTACTAAAAATTCTTATTATCTTTGTAGTATACAACATTTTCCATGTATTCTTGAAATTACATTCGATTGTTTATTATTGTTATTGGTCTTGCTTATCATACATACACACAGCTTTAGTTGTGCAATCCGGACAGCTGTTCCCACGATTACGGGGCTCAAATGATCGTTAATTTATCCATCCGAGGGAATTCTCTAGCATGTATTATCATGCAAACCTTCTCGTCTGACTAAAATTCCGTCTTAGAGTCTTTTGAGGAAATTTAAAATTTTAAACACAATAAAGTATAAATATAACTGAAGTTGATTTCGTGTCATCCCGTTTATGCATGTCGAAATCTTTGGCAGCTGTAATAACCAATCTAACGACCCTCTAGACAACTGAAAATGCGGTAATGCAAGCAGGTCGGCTGTGAAGACAAATACTCGGGCATCGATGACATTAGCTAGTATCAGTCGCACTATATCGTGAGTTGGCATTAGGTTGAGTTGGCCAGTGAACTGCGTCCCAAATAGTCTTAATGGTCTACGACCTCACCTTAAAACTGAGAGCTTCTGGGTTCGAACCCTGCCGGTGGGCAAGTAATGCTGGAGAGTCCCACACCAGACGGACGAAACAGCTGACCGATGCTCCCTGCTGGTTGTTTTCCAATGGTTCTCTAACCGATTTCAGCTTATGATGAAATCCTGTAGCCAATCAAATCCCTGCACCACCACCACTCAACTTAAAATAGTTAGAAATTTGTGATTTTTCTGGTCGATACCGCTTGAGCATTATGTCTTTCAGAACAGTTAGGTAACAGTTTTATAAATATGCTTCAATCGCATAGTCGAATCTAAAGAGTATTGAATTACACCATTGGTGGTATTCATCATATCAGACGACGATCATTTTCAAGAGTTGGTTTGTAGGGATGTGGTTTGTTTCCAGTTTGATCACAGATTGGCATCAGTTAGAGCTGACATCGGTTAGATAACCTTTGAAAACCAGGAAGTCTTTCTAGTTTGGAACTCTTCGCCACTACGCACTCATCATTGGGGTTGGAACCGAAGTGACTCTAAACCCTAGCGGGCCAAAACGAAACCATCTAGTGAACGCATTAATGACCTTGGGCAATCAGTCAGATTAGTCCGCAGTACATACGCGGAATAATGCGTGCTGTACGCGAATTATGTACCAAATCTAGTGTCCAGGGTCTGCTTATGCCACAGGCTCACTGGAAGGGAGAAAACGTGTTGCCAACCGTCATCCCTCGGACTATATTGATAACATTGTCAATAATACAGACAATTTCGTTAATCATTTCGATGAAATGCATAGAAATTGCGTCGAACGTTTCTAGGATAACCTAAAAAGGAGGGTTGAAGAAGTGAGTGAACCAAGAAACACGATGATATTCAGTTATGTCTCGACGAATTTACGCACAGAAGCTGGTTTAACCTAACTATGAGAAATTGGAAGCTTTTCTTGGAACATATACAACGAAGGTCTTCTATGCAACTACTTTTTAACATTGCATTACTTATTATTTATAATCGTCTTTTTCAAATTACGCACTCCTGCTTCGGACGCGTCTGATTGGCCCGTAGAGACTTGTCAACGTCTTTTGCATTAGGTAGTTTTGTTTTGGGCTGCTATAATTTATAGTCGCTCTTTATATATTTCTGTAACTGACATCAATCTATGATCAAGCTTGAAAACCATAATAAATTAAATGTGCCTCCTCTTGGACAGCAGTACGTAGCAGGGTGCCTCAAGACATGATACTCCGACCTCTCCTATTTATTTTGTATATCGATGAGTTACCTCTGCTCAACGACTCCCCTATGGTCCTATACGTAGATGACTTAAAAATTTGGAGAGAGCTGAAGGGCAATAGTGATACATCCAGGTTGCAAGAGGACCTCAACAAATTGTCATCCATAGAATGGATGCTCCCGACCAATGTGACGAAATGTGCAATCATGCGCATTGGACAAGCAAGCACGAGCTCCTACGAACTAGAGGGAATAACACTTCCATCAGTTTAACCTCACTTGGACTTAGGTGTCATAGTTAGCCACGACTTAAAGGCTACAGCGAACTGTCGCGCGGTGGTTGCACTTAGTTTCAGGTCCTTATGGGCAATTCGCAGAACCTTTACTAAAATCACCAGAGATATGTTCACCTCCTTATATACATCTCTGGTGAGGTCAAGACTGGAAAACTGCATCCAGGCCGCCAGTCCTTTCCTAAAAGGCGACTCACACATTCTAGAAAGGGTTTAAAGGAAGGCAACAAGTATGTTTCACAGCATGACTAACTTATCATACGAGGAAAGACTAGACAGTTTAAATCTCTTCTCCCTGTCATACCGTAGGCAGAGAGGAGATTTAATCACAATGTTTAAAATTTTAAATAATGACTACGAACCTGACCTATTCTCTCTTTTCCTTTCCAACAGGTCGGAACACCTTAGAGGACATAGCAGGAGAGTTCAAAAGCCAAGAAGAAATCATATTGCTGTTCAGTACTGGTTCTCACACCGAGTCATAAACTCTTGGAACCGACTCCCAGAAGAATTGGTGTCTGCAACCTCAACTGATTCACTCAAGAAGGGTTTGGACAACCGCAGAAATTTATTAGAAAAGGATTAACATAGGCTCCAAGCCTTTTATCCTCAATCAATAAATGTGAAATCTAATATGTACTGATGAAAAAACTGGTCAAAAGTGAAAATCAATCACGAGTCGTAGAACAAAACAATCCCCAGGATAGAAAGATGACAAAATTTGAATTATGAAGAAGTCATGTAAAGTGTATGCATTATTAAAAAAAAATATGTAGGATGTGTTTAGATTGAAAAAATACATCATTAACAACAACAACAACAACAACAGTTTTCCGAACTATTATTTTGTAGTATGTAACGAGACTAACAAGTCACATGTGATGGAGACAACAATAGCGTCCCAGGAGTGTGAATGCTCCAGTGACCTTGAACACATGTTAATCGTTGGCTAACGGCAGCTGTCGTTATCATAGCTGAAATATCAACGCTATTCACCAACTATGGAGCAAATTTCACCCAGATCACGTTTTTAAGTACTGTTTGGACAATGTGTTAATAGGATTAGGGCTAAGGTAAGTATTCAGGTTAGGTTTAGAATCAGGGTTATAATTAGCACTAGGGTTAGAATTACGGTTTAGATAAAGGTTATGCTTAGGACGAGGATTAAGGTTAGGTTTAGTGTTAGAGTCAGGATAAAGCTTATGGTTACGATTAGGGATAGAGTTACAGTTGATGTCATTTATTTTAATTTGCTTAATTATCCACGTTTTCCTAGTAAGTAGTCATCTATCCACTTGGTGGAAACCATAACAAAAACAATTTATCTGTAGTCATCTCGCTGAATACATGTACAGAAACTAGTCTAACTTAGCAACTGATACTCCTCGTTATAACTAGGACGTATTTTTAAGTCATGTCAGAGAAAGATAGATAACCTGTTCAATGCGTTTTCAAGCGTTTTCTTGTCAATATACATCTTTTTTTTTGAGCAAACATTCCTCATTTTTACTATTGGTCAACTGAAGATCACTCGTGGGTTGGCACTCCTCGGACGCTATTGTTGAACTTTGCCATTTACTCATCATAAAGAGTATTTTGAATGTTTAAAAGCATAGCCATAAGTAGTCCACTTTCAGGTTACCTAACATTTACTATGATAACATCAAGACTTAAAGGGATTCAAGATGACAGACGTCAATTCACACATCGGACGGTCTGCTTAAATACTGGACTACCACCAACGAAAACCTCTATCAATATGCAATATATTGCATATAATTCCTCGTGTTCACTTTGTTTAAATCTAGTAAAATATGACCTTGAACAATATTGTTAACTCTGGTGGCTATATTTCAGTACAATCATTTACAACCTGCTGATTCGCATATTTTGTACTAAACATGAGGGAAAGCACATGGCACCTTATCTTCAATACATATGAGATGACCATTCCTGAATGGTGTCCTTAGTTCACAAAATGTACTCGAAACTTTTTTATGATTGGCATTCAACCAAATATTGCGTATTTTTCGAGGTCAGATAGAACTGTGTCTCACACAATCTACTGCTAATTAAATCGTTTTTATTTGAAGATCCTGGACGAAGGGAAGATATCATGCAATAAACTTTGCTGAAAATTCTGTACATTTTATGAACAATTTTTCAGAATAAAGTTATTATTGTTGTTATATTGCTTCATAGGCTAATTAATGCATGTTTCATGACGGATGTGGAAGACAGGACTATTCTTTAAGGATACGATATTGCGTCAATCTGTCTTAGTGAGGTGAACTTCCCCCCCCCGGGGGTGGGGAAGGAAAGCAAAAATAAGAGTGGAGAGAAAACTTTAAAAAGAAGTGGTGTCTCTACTGCGGACTACACGTTTCGGTAAATGTCCTCTATACTTCACGATCTTTAGATATGGCTCAAAATGATCGTTCTCAATGGCTGGCGCAGATGTATCCAGTCTTTGTGACTTATAATTTTCAACGAAACTATATCGTTCTTCTCTATGACTAATCCTTTTGCCTCATATACCTGTATACTGTCTCTATTTTGCATTTCTTCTACTTTCTTGGCATATATACTTCGCACGTATTTCATGTGATGAAAATAGTGTCAGGCAACAATTAACTAACTTTTTTCGTCTAGTAAATAAACAGTTTCCTCCATCCATCCTTATATACCTTCAAGTTTTACTTTTATTATTTCTAATATATTTGTGGTCCTGTTGCTTCTTTGTTTTACTTTCATAATTGCAAACACCAACTTATCTCTATGACTGCTGTAATCTTTGATTTTCCCCTCACCATATCATGTAAAGAGAACATTCTATTCAATAATTTTTAAACAAGCTAAGATTTCTATACCACATTGACAATACTGTGGGAAACAAGCCCACGGCAATTTTCACTTGTATTATTATTATTACCTTAGCTGTTATCATTATTATTATTTCCATTTTATATGCTGCATGTTACCCTTATTGTAAATGTGGAAAATTGTCTGTGTGATTAATTTTATTTATAATTTGAGTAAATTAGGTGCTGAAAATTCCATTCTGTATCACAAGTACTGTTTTTGAAATAAAGTATTATTATTATTTCTCTTGCTCTGTGTGCTCTATATGGACTGTGGTGGGTTTCAACTGCTGCACATCGGTGCAAAGTTCTATGTTGAAGATAGATAGATAGACAGACTCTTTAGCTTATGAGAAATTTGATATATATATATATATATATATATGGTTATATTCTTTTGCGTTATCAACTAGTAAATTATTTATTTAGAGGAATTCTCGTTCAGCGGTAGAACGCTCGCTAACCATACATGTGGTCTGGAAATCGATTCCCGGCTGACGCACTCCTAACCCTCGTCAAGCCGGTAGTAAGCGGACGGGAAAGGTTGGGCATGAGACATGCAGCCTCACCCCGTAAAAATAAACACCACTGTTGCTGAAACTTCAAGGCTGTAACTTGAAGACACCCTAAGTTCCACTCGGAAAGTAAGGGAATTTTTTAAAATTCGCCATTCAATTAGTAAGGACGATAATAATAATAATAATAGGCAGTGCTCCACCCTACTTCCGTCAGCTACGAGAAAGACAAAGAGACATTGTCAACAGAATGTCTTGTATTGTTGTCTAAAATACCATCCAGGTTATCCATCATTAGAGAGGTAGTATTTGAGTAGAACTATTACAGTAGTTCTTATTTTCGGTTATATTTGGCGAATGAGGGGGCGGGGGAGGGAGAGGAAGGGCAAATACGACTTATACTTCACAAAAGGGTTCAGATCAGAAGTCATGAATCGCTAAGGTGTTTTGTTCTAATCACCTCCTCATTTTTCGCAATATAATCCTATTTAAGTTGATATACTTGTGCGGGGTAACTGGTGGTGCTCTGTCTATCTGTTTTCGACATACAACTTTGCACCGATGTGCAGAACTTCCAGTCACCACACTCCCTTCTTGTAGCACACAAACCAAGAGAAGAAATGCACAATAGAGACAGTAAACAGAGGTTTGACAGAAAGGAATACTAATATCGAAGAACAATATAGTTTTATTGGGTATTATAAGTCACAAGGAGTGGATGCATCTCTGCCAGCCATTGAGAACAATTTTGAGCCATATCACCGATTGTCTCCAGCCTCCATTGGTTTTTACCGTCCCCAGGACCCCAACCGTGATAGTTAAAATTGGTGGTGTTACGTAACGTTAACACATATTCTTGTGAAAACATACAACTTCGGTTTACAGTCTTTTTCGGTGACTTGTCTCATTGACTCAAGAATCTAAGGATAACTGACAAACTGGATTGTGAAATAATACTCAAGGGAAAAGGTGGTGAGAGATCTTAATTTTTTGCAAGTCCATTTATCAATTCCATAATTAGGATTTCTATAGGAGTATAAATCTCTTGCTTAGTATCTAGACTCTATGTGAGTTGGCAAACTTCGGCTAATCGTCTGAAGAAACATAATAATAGTTATTATTGTTCCCTTGGGTTCCTAGTGGAACATAGGGATTCAACTGCACGTCTCCACTTGCTTCTCTCTTCCTTCTGCTGTACTTTTCAACTGCATCCATGTTAGTCGATACTGTTTCAACTCCTCTCTCTTCACACGATCTCCTCCATGTCACCCTTGCACTGACGTCTCACTAGCCGCGTGCTTCCCTTTCGGCCTGGTTCCACTCAAGCAATGGCCTGACGCGCGCACAATTTCACCCAGCGGCAGCCTCCTCAGCGAGTGAGTGTCCAACCCATCTCCACGTTCTCCTGCATATTTGTTGGTTGGCGATTGGTTCTTGTTTTGTTTGTTTGTTTGCTCCCATAGTTTCTTGTTGGTGATTCTTTCCGGACCGGCCATCTGATCTTCAGTATAGAGAGGAAACAGTTGTTGATAAAGGTCTGCAACAGATTGTTGGAAATATTCTTTGTAACCGAAGAAACATAATGCGCAAATGTAATTTTATATCTGAATCACTCACTTCTAAACGTTGCAGAAGATGCAGTTCTTGGATTTCTGTTAAAATATCCAGCGTTGGATTGTTTGAAATCAATCCACCATCCAGAAAACGACCACAAGGCCGAAAGTATGTCGGTGCAGCACCCGAAGCACGAGCAGCTTTCCAAACCAGCTAATATAGAGTAACAGTGCAAAAAAAATGAAATGGAGTATAGCGCAACATAATTAGTTTAGTTGACAAGGAAAAGACGATAAAACTATGTGACAGGTTAACTGTTAAACCTGAAAAATATCTTTATTTTAAAATAAATTGAAGGGTAATCAACATTCTTTATATATAAATCAAAAATTTAACAGTTCGATACCTTATGCTGAAACGAGAGTTCATTTGATCAAGAACTAGTTCCATAATTGACACATGTATCAGGTAAGGGGTAAATCATCTTAGAAATGAACTAGATGGTATAAATTTCACCTGTTTTTGCGGAGTCAACCACGGCCCTAACTATTCACAAACAGAGAAATCAGAGCTCTGCATACAAACAAAAATTATTCAATCATTTCTGTTATCATGGTAACAACTTTTTATTCGCTTTTGTATGTTTGTTTTTCAACTCTCTAAAGTCCTAGGCTCAATAATATTGCGCAGACTAAGTGGTGCTCGGGAGGCACAAACACGAGAGAGCCAGGCAGGCTTTAGACCAGGAAGAGGGTGTATTTATCATATCTTCACCCTTCGACAGATTCTAGAACATAGGCATTCTTACCGGCGTTCAACAATCGTTATATTTCTTGACCTAAAGGCGGAATTCGATTCTGTCGACCGAGAGGTTCCCTGGAGATGCTTGGCTGTAAAGGGAATTCTGAAAAAACAAATTGTACAGATTAAGGCACTCTACTCGAACTCATGAAGCCAGGTCAGGGCTTACGGCGAGTTGTCATCTGAAGTGGTGACAACTAGTGGTGTTCGTCAGGGATGCCCATTAACCCATTTCTATTCAATTTCATCATAGATGTACTGATGGACTTAACCCTAAGTGACTTCAGAGACTCAGGGATTGACATGCTAACAGGGAATACTCTCGTTGACTTAGAATATGCAGACGACATTGTCCTCCTAGGTGAGGACGCTGACAAAATGCAGAGTCTTCTGAACACCTTGAGCTGCAATTTACGAATGTTTGGCATGCGATTTGCTCACGCCAAATGTAAGATGATGTTACAGGACTGGATTGGACTACACTGACTCCTACTTTAGAAATAGGGAGTGAAGTGGTAGAGCACGTTAACCGTTTCACTTATTTGGGAAGTACCATCAGCCAACGCCAACGGGTTGATCTCTGACGAAATCTCAGCACGCATATAGAGGGCTAGTTTCCACATACCAGTTTACGCCGTTTCTGGCGTAGACGTGATATCCGGCTAGCTATCGACCAAAGGGCGGGTGTACTGCTCATCAGTTCGCTCCATCCTTCTTTATGGCTGTGAGACCTGGCCACTGAGAGTAGAAGACATGAAAAGACTAGCTGTCTTTGATCATAGGTGCCTGCGCTCTATTTCCCGTGTGAAGTGGTATAATAAGGTGAGCAATATTGAGGTTAGGCGTCGAGTTCTAGGTAAACAGGGGAAATCAATCGACGAAGTTGTGAAGTTACAAAGACTGAGATGGTTATGACATGTGTTACGTATGCCTAGTCATCGCCTTCCTCGACGAGAAATGTTAGCGGATATAGGGTCAGGTTGGAAAAAAGCTAGCGGAGGTCAAACAAAAACATGGCACCAGTCAATGAAATCTACAACAGTTAGTCTAATCCACCTAGGAGGGTGTAGACTGGCTTCCTGGGGACGGTAAAAACCAATGGGGGCTGGAGACAATTGGTGATATGGCTCAAAATTGTTCTCAATGGCTGGCAGAGATGCATCCACTCCTTGTGACTTATAATACCCAATAAAACTATATTGTTCTTCGATATTAGTATTCCTTTCTGTCAAACCTCTGTTTACTGTCTCTATTATCCATTTCTTCTAGTTTCTTCTCTTGGTTTGTGTGCTACAAGAAGGGAGTGTGGTGACTGGAAGTTCTGCACATCGGTGCAAATTTCTTTGTAGATAACAGACAAACAGACTCTCTGTGACTTAACACTCGTGTACTACTTTCGAACGTTTACGTCATATCGCATTTTTCTTCGTTTCAATATGCATTCTGAGATCACAACTCATTCATTCTAGATAACACAATCACAAACGTGGCATGTTTTCTTAAATTCTGTCTTGATGTCTGTTTTCCTTCCCAAAAGAGACACCCTTTTCTTCTCTTCTCAAGCTCAAAAAGATTCACTGAGAAAAAGAAACGCTATACAAAATGGGAAAGACAATCCTAGTGTTAGGCGACTGAACATTTTAATTAAATCAGAAATATGATCTACAACCAAAAGTTCTTATCATACAAACAAAATAATGATCTTTCTACAGTTGACGCTGGTACTCTTAATAAATCTTTTATATATGTCGTCCACCTGATGTTATGACCTCAAATGCTTGCTACATTTGCGAAAAATGACACTGCTTCTCCAGTTTTAACACAAACGGTCCTAAAGAGTCTCAAATACCTGAAACCTATCCAGTCCGTCAGTTCAGATGGTGTACCAGCTATTATCCTCAACAAATGTGCTGAAATTTTATATTATTCTTTCACTGGCATTTTCAATGAATCGTTTTCCATCAGCATTGTGCCTGCTTCTTGGAAGGACATTAAAATTGAGTCTGTGCCAAAATCATCGAGTGGACCAACTGTTAAGTTCAGGCCTATTTCCACTACTTCTCTTTTCTTAAAAATCAATAGAAAGATTGCTTTTACTCAACCTTGAACTTACATTGAAGACCTTTAACAACCCTAATCAATTTGCTTATAAACATGGTAGGTGCACTTCAGATGCCACTGTCGTTTTAGATCATAATATTATCTGTAGTTTAGACAGAGGTGCCAAATATGTTCAGTTCACATTCCTAGATTATACATTTGCCTTTGATTCTGTACCTAGGCTTCTTTTGTTATAAAAGCTTACTGCGACACAAGCAGGCTGCTCAATTAATAAGTGGCTGTATTTTTCTATTTTTCTGATAAGAGGCAGTAAATTGTTTACAATGGGTAGTCTTCCACTACTTCACTGACGCTAGCTGATGTTTCTCGGGGAGCTGTCTTTCCTCCTTTTCTATTTTCTTTCTTCTAAAATGACTTGCTCCATTCTGACGAAACCTATTTCGTTAAGTATGCCAATGATCTGACTATTTATGTGCTTGCTAATTCTCAGTCAAACTGTTCCAAAATGAATGACTTTTCAGCAGAAGTTAGTTAGTTGTCCTTGTCAAATGGTCTTAAGTCTAATCTCTCTTCAAATGCCGGATGGCTAATTTTACTTTCACCACCATCATAGATGGCACTAAAGTTTAAATTAAATCAAGTCTTAAGTACCTTGAACTAAGTATTTTCTCGGATCTTTCCTGGTCTTCCCGCACATCATGTTAATTTTCAGAAAGATGTTTCGTTTGACATACAACTTAAGGAAGTTAAGACGAGCCAAGCTAGTCAGTTCTTGTATTCTGCCCAAACTTCTTGACTGTTCCCCACCTTAATCTTTCCTGGGCTACTTAAGAAAGACTTTGTTATACTGTATGGGGCAATAAAAGCCGTCAGTAGGGCAAGTGAGGTGTTGCTAGACCAACTCGTAAATACCATTATAGACAGACACTTGGATTCCTGCAAGAAATTAGCAAAATATTATCTTGTCAAACTCTGAACATCCTCTCTCCCCAAATCTATCTCAACAGGTAGAACTATTATTATTATTATTGGTAACAGCTTGATTCCACACTGTATTTTTGGTAAAAGTATGGATTTTCAGCGTGGATATCGGTAGCCCAAATTTCGCAGGCCGACCATAGATATCTGGTGTGCGCCGGTGTGGGCTCGAACCCCGGACCATCTGCATGGTCGTCGAGAGTCCTAACCATTGTGCCACCGACGCACCATCTATAGAAGGTTGTATGCTCGAACGACTAACTACAAAACTCTATAATACCTTATTTAGCCGGGAGACTTATTATGCGATGAAAAATGTGTAAGTCAGGAAATTATCAAACTCTGAAGTAAACGGCATTGTTTTTTGTCTTCATTATTACATTGTCGTTAATATTTCCATTTGATTTAATTTTATATTCACTTCTTTTTGAACAAATTACAAATGTGAATGCCTTGTTCTAGTTTATTACCCCTGGAACGGGGAAGTTAGATGCAATATTGTATTACATGCTGAAAACTGCAAATTAATACCAAAAGTACTGTTTGAAATATAAGCTCTTATTAATGTTAAATGACTTATCATGTAATAGCAATCAAACCTCTACCTCAACTTTATAGACTTTAAGAAGGCTTTCGACAGACAGCGTTGACCGCGAAGTAATTTGGAAACTACTCGAGTACTACGGTTTACCCCACATATTCATCAACCTTATTCAACAGCTGTACGACAACAACGGCACATGTCAACTGATCCACAACGGAAATATCAGCGAGGCGTTTGGAGTAAACACAGGAGTCAGACAAGGGTGCTTATTATCTATCACCAATGATATTCCTTATTGTGGTGCACTGACTGGATCATGCGTCAGACAGTGAGAAACGAGAAGACAGGGGTATCCTGGATCGACGTGAAGAACATAGAAGACCTGAACTTCGCGCGTGGATAATTTATGTTTGATGTCACACACACAAAATCGAAGGCTTACAAGTGAAAACCGACAAACTGGACTCCATGTGAACATAGACAAGACGGAGGTTATGAAAATAAACAACCAAACAACCAACCAACCAACCAACAACAACAACGGCAGAAACATCCAGCGCCAATCACCATCAACGGGGGGATTCGAAAGAGCTTACTTCATTCACTCACTTATCTAGGGAGCATTGTCTCAACTACAGAATGTCGGAACGGATGAAGATGTCAAATCGAGCGAGAATCGGGAAAGTGAGAAACACATTCATCAATCTGAAACAACCAATCTGGAAATCTTCGTCACTCAGTCAGCATCAACAACAAAGTTCACTCGGATTTTCAATACAAACGTCAAGTCAGTCAGTTCTTCTATACAGATCAGAAACTTGGCGGGCGG